TGTGTGCGCGCGCGCGCGCGCATGTAGAGGTCAGAGGTCAATATGGGCTGTCTTCCTCAGTTGCTCTCCACCTTTTGTGAGGTCTCTCACTGAACCTGGAGCTCATCAGTTTAGGCTGGCTGGCTATCAAGCCCCTGCCCCTGCCTCCCAGCACTGTGTTCATACATGTGCACCACTGTGCCCAGCCTTCCCTGTGGGTGCTGAGGATCCAAACTCAGGTCATCATACAGGTTACTGACTGAGACATTTCCCGGCCCCAAATTCTTCAACATACAAATGATTCAAAAAAATAAATTCACGGTGCTTTTAAGAACACTGTCCTCACTTGCATATACCTTTGGAGTAGACCCAGTTACTGTTGTGGTACCTGATATAGCTTGACATCACTTTCTAGGCTCAATGCCATTTCAGTGCCACTGCAAACGTAAGCACATGTCAGCATCAAAATCCAGTTTAAAAAAAAAAAAACATGAAGTTCCAACTAGTTCACATGACTAAGTTAGGGAATCTAAATAACTAAATAAGGGGAATATTTTAGAGTCCCAGGCCCTTCCAGACTCTGAACCCAGGCTCACCTTACATAGTTGTAAACATATTTTCTATTATTACTGTTATTTTATAGCTGAGGATGGAATCTAGGGCCTTTTCACATGGTAAGCAAGTACTCTGGCATTGAGTTACCTCTCCAGATCTTTAATTGTCCTTTTAATACTGCTATCTTTTCCTCCAACCCACTATAGCCTCTGTTCCTCACTCCTCTAAGAAAATAAGTAGGTTATTCCAAATATCTCCAAATATCATTCCATTGTGAGTACTTCCAAATTTATTTATGTCTCAATAGGTCTGGGTGTTAATTCCAAAGTGCTTGAGTTAAATGTAATAGCAATTTAATTTCAATAAATTTAAGCCAAAAATGTTAGCATAGACATGTACACAAAGAAAACCCCATTAGAACACAAATGCAAAGATCAGAATGATACACCATGGGTGCTAGAGGGATGGCTCAGTGGTTAAGAGCACTGCCTGATCTTGCAGAGAACCCAGGTTCAATTCCCAGCACCCACATAGCAGCTAACAACTGTCCGTAACTCCAGCTCCAGGGGAGTCCAACAACCTCTTCTGACTTCCATAGGCATTGCGTGACATGAGCGCACTTACATACCCAGAGGCAATACACTTACACACATGAAATAAAAATAATAAAATATTTAAAATAAAAAGTATGATACACCAGAGTCAAGAAATACCAAGCACTGCAAGTAATTCATGAGAAACTCTAAAAGTCAGTTGGAACAGATTTCCCCCTCAGAGCCCTCAGAAGTAAGCACCCTGCAGAAACCTTAATATCAGACTTCTAGCTTCTAGAGCTATGACAAAATATACTTTTGATCTTTTTAAAATTTATTTTACTTGTATGAGTATTTTGCCTGCCTTTATGTATATGCACCATGTGGTGGTTTGAATGACAATGTTCCCCATAGGCTTCAAGCATTTGGACAATTTGTCCCCAGTTGGTGATCCTGTTTTGGGCGATCTTAGAAGGTGTGGCCATGCTGGAGGAAGCATGTCACTGGGAGTGGGCTTACAGAGTTCTTAATCCTTTGCCAGATCTCCAGTCACTCTCTTGCTTCCTGTGCCTACTTGAAGATGTGAGAGCTTAGCTTCCACTCCTCCAGCCACCTCTGCCCCCATGCCTCCCTGCCATGATGAACTCTTGCCTCTTGGAACCGTAAGATCAAATAAAGTCTTCCTTCTATAAGTTGCTTTGGTCAATGTTTCTATCATAGCAGCAGAAAAGTAACTAATACACACCATGTGCATTCAATGCCTATGTAGGTTAGAAAAGGATACTGGAGCCCCTGAAACTGGAGTTTCAGACAGTTTTTAGTTGCCATGTGGATGCAGGCAGGGACCCCTGGAAGAGCAGCCAGTGTTCTTAATCATTGAGCCATCTCTCCAGCCCCCAAGCTTCTTATCATCAAACAATTTGCTTTGTGTTACTTTATCACGGCAGCCTTAGCAAACCGACACACAGACTACATATGTACTTCTGGGCCTGAAGGTCCTGCTTTGTTATTGTCTCATCTGGTTAATAAGTCAGCACATTTTACAGAAACATATTCTTCTTTTGCATCTGCATCTTCAGTTCCTTAAGGTTAAAATGTTATCTTTCACCTGTCTGCACTCATTGGTTTTATAGATTTTTGTTCTATATGGAAGAAAAGTACAATTTCCATGAGAACCCAGACTTCATAGTCATTTGTCAAATATAAAAATCTTAATTTCCAATATTTTTATTGTTTGAGAATTTTGCATGACTATAATGTGTTTTGATTGAGACGACCCCCTCATCTCCTCCCCTCCAATTCCTCCCTTGTCTCCCCACCACCATTCCCTTCCAGTTTCATGTGTCCTATTTTTGTAAACCTACAAAGTCCATTTAGTGCTGCCTGCATGCTCATGAATGCAGGACCAGCTACTGGAGCATGGGTTGCTCAAGTTTCCCATCTCTGAAGAAAACTGACTCTTCATTCACAGCAGCTATCAATAGCTCAGATAGGGGTGGGACTTTCTGACCATCCCCTGACTCCATGTTGGGATTTTTTTTTTGGCTTAACCTGTGCATGCAGTCACAGCCACTATCAGTTCATATGTGCAACTGTCCTTTGTGTCTAGAAAACACTACTTTGCTGCAGTCATCCACTGCCTCTGGCTCTTCAAATCTTTCTGTCCCTCTTTTGTGATGATCCCTAAGCCTTGGGATGAGTAGTGTGATAGAGAGTCCCATTTAGGGCTGAGACCTCTGCAGTCTCTTCTTTGGCAGGTTCAGAACATCTATTAATTTTTAAGCAGATTCCAATTTTCTGCTGGAGCGTTGCATGTTTTTATTTATCTTCACTATCTTTTCCTTTATTTTTAGTATATTACTCATGATCTCCAAGTCTCATAGTTCCGTCATCCCAGGTCTTCCTTTACTTACTGCCTTGCCTCTTGATTATAAGCCACATCTCCTGCTTGTTTGTATGTTTAAATACTTGTTATTATATGTTTGACATTACAAGTGACCCAACATGCATGTTCTTTGGTGTGTTATCTTATTCGAGAGAGAGTCATATTTTATCTAGCAAAAAAATTACAAAAAAAATCACCCTGATCTTTCCACGTTTTAAGTTTAGCCTTTGGCAGTATTGGTCAATTTCATTTCTTTTGCTGTACTTGCAGAATCTAGCCCTAACTCCTACCATGCTCCTAATTTCTAGGGTATGATGTTTCAGTAGCAACAACAAGCCAAAGTATTCACTAGCTAGCCCAAAGTTTCATATTCAGTGCAAACTCTAAAATCTCTGCTTATGACTAAACTTCCCCACATCCTTTCTTGGCTATGGCTTCTAAAATCTCATTCTGCAAAAGCACAGCCTTGTGAGTCAGCCAAAGACTCAATATGAATTTTTATGTAAATTTTTGCCTCTTTCTCCTATCGAATATCCTAACCCAGTCACTGTGGTAACTCTAGATATCAGAGTCTATTTCCTCTGACAACAAGACTGCAGCTTTCTGCTTGGACTCTACTCTTTCATATATGACTTGGAAACTGTACTCAGGGAGAAATCCAAGGGTCACATGTTTCCCTTGTGTTAGGGAATCTCACCTTTGCATTAATTCTTATTCATTTCCTAGAAATAATAGCTCAACTTTTGTTTTGTATTTCACATGTTTTTGTGGGAAGGAAAGTCAGATACAAGCTACTCAACCACATCCCAAGCTTAAAGTCAAGCATAAAGACAGACAGAGAGAGAGAGAGAGAGAGAGAGAGAGAGAGAGAGAGAGAGAGTCTCAGGCTGGCCTTCAGCTGTCTATATCACACCTGGATTAACCTGGACCTCTGATTTTCCTGCCTCCAGCTCCCAAATGCTAAGATTATAGATGAACACCACCACATCAGTTTATATGGTGCTGGGCATTAATTTTAGGAATTTTTGTGTGTTAGGCAATCACTCTACCCACTGAAATACATCCCCAAACTGTAAAGTTCTTACCAAGAATGAAGTCCTCACGATTTGCTTCTTTGCTTTTCTATATCCTTTCTCTCCTCTCTTTCCATGCCTTACTAACTGTAACACAGATAATTCCTACAGATAAATTCTATAATACATCTTAGGAAAACTCAACACGTCCTAAAGAAGAAATTTATAACTCTGTGACGGGGGGAATTCCAATCAATGAAAAAATTAGCATCTAGACTTTTTCCCTTCTGTAAGACTCTATGGAAGAAATACGATTCCAAATTGCTTAATTACCTAAGTGCAGCCTTATGGAAAGCGAACCAGACAAGGTATATACAGACAAACATAACAAATAATAGAGGAAGCATAAGTCACATCTCTTAGACTAAGTTATAGGTATGGGGCAGGCAGAATTCAATTGCCCACATTTCATATCCTATGAAGAGACCACTTTGTACAGGCACGGCCAAACATTCTTCAGTTTTGTTCCAGACTCTAAAAAGAAAAAGTGAATTTCCTGTCTTCTCCTACTTCCAGAGGAGCTGGGCCTAGGGAAGAAACAGACCAACCAAATAGAAATAGCCCTGATCTTTGCAGGTGCAGTAAGAAAGGTTCTGTCTTCATTACCCAATCAGCTTGTGTAGTCACACATTTTCAAGTGTGTAGACTCTCCTGGATGAGCCATTCAGTCTGCTTGATAGCGAAAAACCAGGTTGCCTCTTCATACACAGTAAATAACTGCCTTTGAGTTATTATTACAAGGTTATCATGAAGGATTTTTGTATCAGGGCCTTTGTTCCTTCCTGATTAAAAACCATCTAAGTGAGAGAGGTACATGATAGTCAACTATATTTCGGAATACTGCGTTCTTTGACTCCTTTTACTGATCATTTATTTTGATAGTTTAGAGAAGAGGCGATGGAATGAAAGGATATGAACTGAAAAAGGAGAACAAGTAAAAAAGAGGACCAAAGCAACGTGGAGGAAGGAGTTTGAAGGCTTAAGGAATAGCTTCATGGTTAACATACCCCAATACTAAAATATTTGGATAGCTTGCTAAGAGCAGACTTAGTACATCAACACAGGCATACTGTGTATCACATTAGTCTTGGGATAGAAGAGTCAGCCAGAGGGGATTTTAAACACCATGTGTCCTAAGTACACACCAAATCAATGACTCTGGAGATAGGGCCGAGGCAGCAGTGGTTTATAAGTGATCCCAATATACAGCCAAACTTGCAAATCACTGATTTAAGTTCTTTTGACCTCTGCCATATTCTATGAAACTAAAGCATTAGACGCATGGTGGCTGAGCCTCTTCCAGCTGGAGCTCTTCAACTCCACAATCACGTTCCTTTGGTCAATGTTCTTCCAATGCTCTAAAAACAGTAAGAAACTCAGTGAGTTCTCTACTGGCCTCAACTCTGAGACTTTGCTGAATACAGATGTTTGTTCAAGTTTATGTTGTTTCCTAAGATGCTGGTCATCTCTGTTTACCTAGTCATTCATCAAGAGAAAGGGGGATGCATATCCAAAGAAAAAGACAAGTCTAACATGAAACACAAGGACAGTTTAAAAATGGAACAAGTACTTTTTGTAAACACAGGAAACACCTGTTTGTTGACACCTTGCTATTGTGGAAATGTCTGAATGCTTTCACAATTACAGATTCATATTTCATATATTTAAGTAACAGTTTCCATGACTCATTACTCATTTGCAAAAGACTTTGTGGCTTCTTGCTTTAGCCCCGACAGCGCTCTGTTCTCTTCCTTTCTCTCTCCCCCAGAACAGATGTCTAATGAGATATGCCAAGATTGGCCACATGAGCTTTTTATAAAAGGTTCTGGGAAGAAGAAAACCTGGATTCAGGCCCATTCGCACAGTACTCACCTGCTGTGAACCACTCTGTCTATATCCTGCACTTTTCACACAGCTCTCCCTAGCTTACAGATGTGTTATAAAAGGACTATATAATGAGCAAGGCACTCCACGGTGCAGTGAAGCAAGGATCTATATAAATATAGAATGCTTACTTTGCCATGAGGAGGCATCTTAAAGATGCCAAGCCACCTGCTGAGGTCAACTGGTTGTGATCTGAAGCAAGCATCCTCTGTTCAAAAAAAAAAAAATGATGTAACATCATCAGCAACCTAAATCTTCAGTCTCCTGAAACATAGCTGAATATTCAGACCTTTTTACTCATGTGCGTGCCTCTGGACCCCCAGCAAGATCTTCTGTGTTTCTCTGTTTCCTCTATCCTCATGTTCACTATTAGAATACAACCCATCAGGATGGGAAGGAGTGCTGTGAAATGCTGTCTTCCAGACATGCCATGACTACCGTACTCATGAGCTCAAAGAAGCTGTGGTTACCTGCACAAGATCAAAGCAGCCGAAATCCCTGCATAGCTGGGACAGATGATCTCCAGGGTCCAACCCTTTCTGAGGCACTATTAGCAGTTTATAGTTGCTGAGGGAGGGTGCTCATTTTGGGGGGATGTGGCCACTGGTAGATTCCTATCCTCCAGTGAATGACCCCACACCCTTGCACATATAGGCAGTATTAACTGGACTTAGTGGATTATTAAAAAAATTTAAAGGCATGAAGTTGGGAGTATGTTAAAGGCAGTATGAGGGGAAATAAGGGCAAATATTATCATATTTCATTGAATATTTGTATGAAACTCTCAAGAATAAAGTTTTAAAGAATCCAATCCAGGGCTGGAGAGATGGCTCAGCAGTTAAGAACACTGACTGTTCTTGCAGAAGACCTGGGTTCAAATCCCAGCACTCACATGGCAGCTAAAAACTATCCATAACTCCAGTTCCAGGGGCTCCAACAGCCTCTTCTGTCCTCTGCAGGCATTGCACGACACGGGTACACTTACCTACATGCAGGCATAACACACATACACATAAAAAATAAAAATAATAAATAAAATTTAAAAAAAGAATACAACCCATCAGTCAAGCTCCAGTTTCAGTAACCACAGCTAACATTGTTCAGCAAATACCCTGTACCAAGAACTAAACTGAGTACTTTGGGCATGTTGCTTACATTCTGTTTTGATTTATTTATTTATTTGTGAATGTGGGGGGCATGCATACCATAGTTCACATGTGGAGGTCAGAGGACAACATGGTAGAGTCAGTTCTCTTTTTCCACCATGTAGGTCTCCAGAATTGAACTCAGGGCATCAAGATTGGCAGTAGGCACCCTTACGGGTTGAGGCATCTCACTAACCCACTTACCTAAGTCTTTCAACACATCTACAACATACATTTAACTAAGCCATTTCTGTAAAAGGCAATCAAAGAGGTGAAATAACTTAAGACCACAAGGCCAGAATCCAAACCCAGACCTTTTGTGTGGCAAAGCTGATGCTTTTACCCACATTGTAGTCACTCTCACCAGTTCATCCTGGAGACATTCTGAGTTACTTTACTCCCTGTAGCAATTTCTCCCTACTCTGGTTCAGATCTCACCAGACATATTTTGTTCTGTTTTACATATTGCTGTCTATTTTTTAAAATAAGGTCTCTATATCCCAGACTGGCCTAGAACTGGCAGTGATCCCCCCGCCTCAGCCTTCCAAGAGCTGTGATTATAGGCAGACCACCACAGCCAGCTCCTGTGTTTTTCATGTGCTTCGTATTTTCTTGATGATTATTTGTTTCACGTGAGTATTTAACTTTAACATGTTTTATTCTTTACATGAATATGGTAAAAGCCTATTCAAAGGGATGGAGCAATGCCTTCAGCTCCTAGAGAATTGCGCAGAAACTATTCTTATTTTCCAGTCATGAGTAGATACTTTTGTTACCCTTTCATCACTGACCACAACTATAGTACTCTAACTCAGCCAGTAAATCCTTCCATGTTAAGAGCTCAAGCACAAAAGTTAAGTAACTACGGGTGAGGTTAAGAGGGCCAAGAAAGGTTCAATCAGAGATGAGGGTGTCCGCTTCTAGGTGTTTTCAATTATGACTGTCAGGTTGATAAGAGAACTCCACAGAACATTTTGGTTTTCATAATGCATAGAATGTTGGCCAAAAATATTAATAAGATAGTGCTCCATATGTTCACTGATCATTATATTTTCCAAACAGCTATTAATACTTGTCTTCTCTGTATAGGATGTTTTCCCAATGTGTCATAGCACAGTGTCAAATGAAGCCGATAATGAGTTAACAGTGTGTACATTTGAAGCACAGGGCCATTTGGTCTTGCAAACTAGTCAATTAGAAGAAAAAAAAAATATTTAGAAAGCTCAGAAAGACAAACTCGGGAAACCGAAAACTTGTAGAGTTCAAGTTAAGCAGGTAGCTCCTTAAGAGAAAATAAGAAGTTGTGTAAATGGTACTTATGAATAAAGAGAAATAAATCTGATCATAAGAAATTGTAAATATTGGCACAGAGCTGCTGACCCCAGAGTCTGTATTCATCTCAGCTCAGCTTTCTCAAACACAAGGGAGCAAAGGGTATATGCTGTGGCTCCTGGTGAGTCTGACATTACACCAATGTGCTATCTCAAACACCCAAACTCCCAGCTAAGAATGGTCAAGCTCTTATTTGTAACCATACGCTGTAATATGAAGAGAAAGGAGTTACCCACAAAGCCACAAACCCACAAACTCACCTTGAGCAGCAACTCAAGAACATATCTCATCCAGGGCACTAGGCATCGGAGTCATCGTAGGGCAGGGAAGAAATGTGAGAGTCATTATCAGCTGTTTCAGTGTGAGAGAGAATAAAGCACAGCCTCCCCATATTTAAGGATTTATTTCCCTCTGTGTAGAGCTGGGTAATGCCCACTTAACTCTCCTTCAACAGTCTCAGGAATGACTCATGAAAAAGGGCTCTTCAATGTAGCCAGTGACTTAAGATGTTTTATATAATAAGTGCATTCCTTAAGCCTGCACAACCTTTCTTCTGTACATAACTTCTACCAAGAATTTTAACTGATGTTTCCTCTTTCCTTTTAACACATGTAAAACTTTCAGGAATTATAACTGTAGGTTGCCACCATTTCCTGGCATCTCTACAGGTTAGTTAGATATGGCGTCAGATGACCCATAGTCAAGTTTCAGCTCTACTTTTCATTACTCTTGAGACCTTGACTAAACTAAGCAGTTTTCAGAGCCTTGGCACTTTTATCTACCAAAGGAAGCAACTGTACCAGCTTGTGCTTACCCTCAGGATTAGAGTGAGCTCAAGTTGAAAAGGACACAAAAAAGGCTATGTAAATTGCACCTCTCTGGCAGGGTATTTCATGATATTTGAAGTTTCTTGTAGCCCTTCCTTCCCTACCACCCAGTAGTAACTACTGCTGAGATTTTCATTTCTTTTCTTCCAACTTTTTCCTATAGTATGTACACAGGTGTTTGTGTAGGTATAGATATATTTTTTTAATATTTTGTTTTTATTTGATATGTATGAGTGTCTTGCCTGCTTGTAAGTACACCCATGTCATGCAACGCTACAGACGGTTGTTAACCACCATGTGGGTGCTGAGAATCGAACCCATGCCTTCTGCAAGAGTAGATAGTGCTCTTAACTGCTGAGCTGTGTATGTATATACTTTCTAAAGCATAGATTTTTATTATGAAACAATTGTTATAAATTTATGTACATATTTAATAAAACGTATTTCATAATTATATTAGATAATGATACTTGCTTGTAGTCTGACATCTATATATGTATCTCTACATTAATAAAGATTCCTTTAAAAGATGGTTAGTAACATCTTGATGGACTATATCTGTTATATGATTATATAGACATGCATGCAGTTTCATGTTGTTCAAAATTATTTCCAGGACTAGAGAGATGGCTCAGTGGTTAAGAAGCACTGGCCGCTCTTGCAGAGAGCCCAAGTTCAATTCCCAGCACCTACATGGCAGCTGACAAAGGTCTGTAGTCTGTAACTCCAGTTCCAGAGGACCCCATGCCTTCCTCTCACCTTTGCAGGCATTGTACTACATGGGTGCACTTACATATATGCAGACAATACACTCATACACATAAAAATAAAAATACTTTTAAAAAATATTTCCGTCAGTACTGGAGAAGTGTCTCAGTGGTCAAGAGCACTGGCAGCTCTTGCAGAGGACCCAGGTTCTGTTCCTAGCACCGACATGGTGGGCATCAATAACTCCAGTTCCAGGGGATCCGGCACCCTCTTCTGACCTCTGTGGACATTGCATGGCATGGGTGCACTTAAATACACACAGGCAGAACACCCAAACGCATAAAATAGAAATAAATTTTTAAAAAAATATTTCTGCCGGGAGTGGTGGCGCATGCCTTTAATCCCAGCACTCGGGAGGCAAAGGCAGGCAGATCTCTGTGAGCTCAAGGCCAGCCTGGTCTCCATAGCAATCCAGGCCAGCTAGGGCTAAAGGGAGACCCTGTCTCAAAAAAGACCAAAGGGCAAAAAAATAAAAAAATAAAAATCCTTCAACTTAAAAAAATCTCCAGAGTTGACAAGATGGCTCAGCAGGTAAAGGCACTTGCACACAAGCCTCAAGAACCGAGTTAAATCCCTGGAACCCAGATTATTTTTTAGTTTGTTTTACTTTTGTTGATATTCCTTGAGTGATTTTTCTATAATAAATAATGGTAAAAAAAAAAAAAAACTCTTCAAAAATCTAAGTCCAGAGGGGAGATTTATTTCTGAAATTGAAATCATTGGATCAAAGGGGGTAGGGTTTTCTAAGTCCTTTACAAACATATTTGACCATTTAGATAGTGTAAAAGGTAATTTTTACAGTAACTGTTTGAAATTACTACCCATTTTAATAACTTTTGGTTTTGTGCACCAACAAATAACATGTCTTTACCATTTATATTTATGATTGCCAGAGAAGTTGAAAATTTTTTCTGTTTATTACTTTAATTCTTCTTTGAAGTATTTCTCTCTGTTCCATTTCAATATTTTCCTTATTGGTTTGTGTTACGTATAGTTTAATGTCTCTTTTATCATAAAACATTCCAAATTTTTCAGCTACATTTTAATATGGCTTATGGATTTTGACACTGTGCTTTAAGTTTCTAAGGGCAGAATTTTCCAGGCAATTGCTTCTATTGAGTCCTTTCTATGAAGTAAGTAGAAAAATTCTTGCTGTATGCATATATCAGCTCCTTCAGTAAGAACCAGCTCCCCTGATCAGACAACAATTCAAAATAAAGTCAAGACAGAGAATCAGGTTGTTGTCATTCTGCACAAGAGCCCACTTGAAATCCTCAGCCAGGAGACTGGTAAGTATTTCTGGTGCAGGTGTTGGCACCAACTCAGACTCAGCTCTATGAATAGGCCACATGGATGTCTCCTGTGCTGTGGCATCTGGCCACTGACTAGGACTCTGAAATTCTAACACTTGGAAGGTAGGCATGTGCTGATGCACCGTGTGTCTGAAGGGGTCAGGGTCAAACCTGGGTGACATCATGGGGATACTGGGACAACGTACAAGACCATGCCAGAATCAATGCTGCTATGGGAAATTGATTTGGAAATGTTCAAGATGCAAAAGCTGTACTAGGAAATGTGAGTAAAAAAAGGGGTTCCATTGCCCTCCCAACCCAGGGCTCTCATTATTCTCTTACTGGACAAAGCAAAGGCAAGCTGAGCAAAGGCAAGCCTCTTGCTTGCCTTACATTTAAATGCTATAGCCTTGAGCATACAATCTGGCTTCTTTGGCAACATGAAATCATGGCTATTAATATTCATACATGGCACCACTGAGGTCTCACTATGGTCTAGACCCTATCCTACACCATTTATTCTCATAATAGCTTTCAATCTTTTTAAACATACGGAACCACTTCTCCACTGCAAATTTGAAGAAACCAAGGCAGAACAAGGTTAAGTAACTGGCCCAAGGTGAAACTGGCATTTTGAAACCAGACAACCTGGTTCTGGAAGTGGCAGCTTTGTGATATCCAAAATATTCCATACTTAACATAAAATTATTAAAAAATATTTTGTGTGTGTGTGTGTGTGTGTATGAGTGTGTTCTCTACATGCATTTGAATGCACCCATGCCACGCAATATCCATACAGGTCAAAAGAGGGCATCAGACTCCCCTGAAACTGGAGTTATGAACAGTTGTTAGCTGCCATGTAGGTGTTGGGATTCAAACCAGGATCCTCTGCAAAAGTAGCCAGTGTTCTTAACTCTCCAGCCCCTTATCAATAAAAATTTTAACCACAAATGTTAAATTCAATTTCATTTACATGTATATGTTTATATGTGGAATGATATAAAATGATTGCTTTGCATGTCTGCTTTTTTTCTGGCTGATGGAGAATGAGGGTTAGAAATTAAGGGTGCTTGGATTATCTATATTTTCATCTTTCACACATTCTGATGCTTTTACCAGAAAAAGAAAGAGTGCAACAAAGGCAAAGTTCAAACATGACACATTGGCTTCAGTTTGAAGTTATTACTGCATGGGATTGGTTTACAGAGGCACGGATTGAATGAAACTGTCAAAGGAAGATCAATTTTAATCATTCACCTGTCATTTTCCCATCATCCCAGTCCTTCCCTGGGCACCACCTTTGAACAGAACAGGGGAGGGTACAGACTAGAGAGTGAATTCCTTATATATAATAGAACACAACTGAGGCCATCTTCCAGTGAACCTTGCCAGCCAAACTGATTGAAACTTGTCCCTGGAATCCTTTCTCCTTCCACCTGGGAGCCTATGAAGCCTTGTAATTTCTCATGGCTGAGGTTTCAGAAGTACTGGAGACCACGTGGCTGCATGAGGTCTCACACAGTTCTCGCACAGGGAAGCCTGACCCACTGCCAGGAAACCTTCCCATCTCTTTCTCACTGCTCTACCCTCCACAGCACTCCTAAATTTATTTTTAGTGTGTGAATACAGTCATAGCCCTCCCTTGAAAAATTCTTCTGTAGATTTTCATCTCCTATGGAGATGGCTTCTATGGCTCCTTCTGGAGCCAGCACATGTGGCTCCCTTATGACCCACCAACCAATATTCCTCCAAACTACAGTTTAGGGAATAAAGACATTTATTTGGGCTTGCCCACAGAACTTATGATGATGAGGAGGGGTTACATTCAAAGGCATGGACACCCATGGGCTTTTTCCCTCTACATCTCAATTGAGCTTTCCAGATCTGCCAGTGCCAGCCCAAGATGGCAAAGCCCCACCTCCTCCCTGGCTTCTTCCATGTCTATCCTTAGACCTGCCCCTCATCCAATTGAAGTTGACTGAATCGGTGGGAGGGGTGACTGTCTCCCTCCCTTTCTATGGAGTCTCTTAGGGTTCAGACATCCATCTGTTGTTGGTCCTTCCGAGGACACGCCTATCCAACAACTTCCTTCCTTGTACTTGTGGACAAGACTCTAGATGGTCCAGCACCACCTACGGATAGTTCCTTTTCTACTCTGCCCAACTTGGAGTCTCCTTTCCAGACATCAGAACCTACTTCTCAGTCCTCACCATGCTTTCCTCCGTTATATTTTTGCTTTCTCAGTTTTCTCTCCTGGAGTAACCCTTACCTCCCCTCACACGTCAGCATACACAGACAGAAATGATACACATCTTTGGATCTCATTTTAAACACTGCCTTCTGCGTGTCTCTGACAGCTCTTAAGTTACTCACAGGACCCAATTCTATTGCAAACATGATGCCCATGTTGGTGTAGTTTTCAGTCATGTGTTTCTTCCTGACCTGCTATAAGCTCTAGTTTAGAGGGTGCCATACTTTTCACCTTTTAATGAACCTGTCCATTAAATAGG